TATGTATATGTATATATATATTTTTTTTATATCCATATATATATATAATATACTATATATATATATATATGTATTGTATGTATTGTATATATATATATTTTTTATATCCATATATATAATAATAATAAAATAATAATAATAATAATAATAATAATAATAATCTAATACTACTCCGAAACCCTATCGGTGCTTTTAAAAATCCCAAAGAAATAAATCCCGGCCACTAGAATCAGCGCAACCATCATGAATCCCAATCACCATCATAATTCGAAAACACTTACGCACAACCCAAGAATATTAAAAGCCACACAATGATAAGTAAATCCACCGGCGAGGCAAGAACGAGCAGCCGCCCCTCGTCCCCGGCCGTTCCGATGCAGGACAGGCCCCAAATTACAGGAGGCTCGCAATCTGGTGCCGGACCATATGGATCTGGAATTATTAATCCCGAGTCATTTTAGGCCATTCTGCCCGGCACAGCAGGCGCCAGGCAAGGAGGAACAAGGAGCGCTGCCTCGCGCAGACCCCAACTCATCGCGGTCTCGTTCACTGCATGGTGGTTGGACTTGCTTGTTTACATCGTTGTGCGTATTATATCCTCGAATACTTTTTAGTCGACCTTAAACTTTCTTTCAAAAATTATTTATTCAATATTTTCTCACTTTATCTCAATCCCGAGGGGGTACAAAGAGCCCCGCTTTGCGCATGTTCCTTTCGCGTGTTCCCGTCCTCCCTTCGGACACGTCGCGGCCGCCATCACAGCTGATTATAACAATTTCATCGCGGTAATCGCTGCGGTAGATTATCGATGTATTGTAACGCACGAGTACTTACGGTTATTAGGATTTTCTTTCTATCGATTTAATGAGGCGTTTGAACCGACAGTATAACACAGTGACTTTATTGGTTATTTATTGCTCCTTTGTTCCTGTAACAGACAACACTGGTGCATTTGGGTCGAATAGCCCTTAAACAGTATCTATGTATCATATAGAATAACTGGTACTGGATCTACATGTCAAAATGAAATAACTCACTTCGTCAGGGTAAACATTATCTATCAGCACAATAGTTAATCATTACAGAAGATTATCATTAAATCTGTCACCATTATTAATGAAAAATGATAGATAACGCAAAAATATCATCAGTCAAAATCACATGCAGCTTCAGGCGATTATGAGCATTCTATATTATCGGCTTTTACATCATATTATCGTGTTATCAAGGCGATTATGCATTAAACAGCATGGCTCATCCTTTGACTGTGTGAGATAATACTCATCCCATAGGCAGCCCCACGAGCACGGTTAGCGGTGCTGAATTTTGCAACGCCCGTTAGAAATAAATGGAGCCGTCGAGAGTAATAGCATAGTAAAAGAACGGCGTAAAATAAAACGAATCAACATAAAAAGGTTATCCCTCCGCCACGGCTCGCTTAGGACCGAAATTCGCTTGGAAGAAGGAAAGATAGAGAACCGTGATAATAAACAAACAAATGAAATGAAAGTGATAAATGACAAAAGACGGCCTGCATTCCCCAAGACGCTCCCCCCCCATAATATTCCCCCCTAACAAACCACTGCCGAGACACGAGCGAAAAAGTCCCGCCCCGGCCGGCCGCGGGCACAAAGGCCCGGGCGCCGTCTGATCCGAGCAGCTGTGACAACAGGCAAGAACCACGCCTTCCCCGCAGCTGACACGCGGCGACATCTCGGAGGGAAGGAGGCCGGTTTTCCTCATTATTATTGCTGTTGTTCTTTTCTTTTTCTTTATATCATTATTAAAATGTAATAATTATTACAATATATATATATATTGCTTTACTGTTGGTGTTCTTTGGTAATTACTATTACTATTATTACATTTCTTTTTATTTTTACAATTGGTATTTATTTGTCTGTATATGCGCACGTATAAACATACACACATACACACACAGACACACACACACACACACACACACACACACACACACACA